GGTGAGGTCAAGACTGGAAAACTGCATCCAGGTCTCCAGTCCTTGTCTAAAAGGGGACTCACACATTCTAGAAAGTGTTCAAAGGAAGGCAGCACGTATGGTTCACAGCATAGCTAACTTATCATACGAGGAAAGACTAGACAGTTAAAATCTCTTCTCCCAGCCATACCGTAGGCAGAGAGGAGATTTAATCACAATGTTTAAAATTTTAAATAATAACTACGGACCTAACCTATTCTCTCTTTTCCTTCCCACCAGGTGGGAATACCTTAGAGGATATAGCAGGAGAGTTCAGAAGCCAAGAAGAAATCATATTGCCGTCGAGTGCTGGTTCTCACACCGAGTCATAAACTCGGTGGAACTGACTCCCAGAAGAAGTGGCGTCTGCAACCTCAACTGATTCGTTCAAGAAGGGTTCGGACAACCACAGAAATTTGCCAGAAAAGGATTAACATAGGCTCCAAGCCTTCTTTCATCAACCAACAAATCTGAATCAATCTTTCACCTCAATCAACTTCAAGCGGACAGGAAAACGCTGATACTAGTCAGCAATTAAATAAAATAAAACAAGCACTTCCGTTTTTAACCAGACTCCAGATTTTCGTTCATGCTTGTAGTGAAGAATGTGAAATAAATGGTGTGAGTTTTAAGTGATGAAATTATCACAATTCACTTTAAGCGGCTTTTCAAGTATGTACGGCACTATCGTGTAGGACACTAAAATTTATTTGTTTCCCCATCGCTTGGCATCAAAGCGAACTGCTATTTTTACTTTGTAATAGCTCTCAAAACTTTCATCAGTGTATGAACTTTTCTAACCATTTAGTAGCAGTTGTTTTAGTGGTCCTCTTCCAAGTTACCCAAACTTAGTATAAAGAAATAAATCTCTCTAATTGTTAGCTAACTCTAATGAGTAAATTCTGAAAGTGTTCTGAAATGGTTTGGTTATAATCAAAGACTAGACCTGAGTGCTGGTTTTCAGCATGACTGGCACTAATTTAACACCCTGTGCTTTCTCTAGGCATTTTCAGAAGTAGGTCAGAACCTACTGAGTTTGCGTATTAGCGTTTTTTCAGCCTTCTCGGGACATATTCAGCACTAAATATCATAGTTTCAGCGCATAGTGGCAATTTTTCAGCTTTATTTCAGCATTAAAGATATTACTTTTCCTGCAAATCCGATTTCAAGAGTTTGTTGCATTAATTAAGTATCCAATGTGCGTCGGTGGCGGAGCGATTAAGACGCTCGCCGACCATGCACATGGTCCAGGGTTCGATTCCCGGCCACCGACGCACCCCTTTACCTCGCTAAGCCAGAAATAGTGCTGCTAAAGTGGAAAGGTTGGGCATGGAGCCAGCAGCCCTATCCTGTAAAAAATAAACACTGCTACAGAAACTTCAAGCCACTAGCTTGAGGCCCTATGTTTCACTGGGAACAAGAAGGAAAAAGAATTAATCATCCAGCTTGATTTTAAGGGACGACCAGCGTTATTTCAGTATATGGCGGGTTCATTTTAGGTTGATAAAATACTCTTTCACCACAAGAAGCCATACACATACGTCAGAATTAGTTTAGGATTGTTGTAAGCTAAGGTAGAATTTTCTTCAGACGGACAGTTATCCACAGTTTGCCTCAGAGTTTCTGCAGTGCGCCCATGGTCAATGCTAGCTTGGTTAATAAATAATCAGTAAAAAATATATATATATATCGGTAGGTCTCCTTAGTAAACTTAAACGTTTTGGATTAGGCCAACGCTTATGTGAGTGGTTTAGTGACTACCTGATGGATAGGAGGGAGAACGTAAGGGTTAATAATGTGCTGTCAGTGTGGAAAGCAGTACTAAGTGGAGCACCTCAGGGAACTGTACTTTGCTCCCTGCTATTCCTATTATACCTAAATGAGGTGCCGATAATTCTTACCTCATCTTTCTTACTATTTGCGGACGATATTAAGATATGAAAAACCGTAAATAGTAACGGTGATAGGTTGGTACTACAAAACGATCTAGACAAATTAGCCGGATGGGCTAACCTTTTGAGTCTGGACATTAATTCCAAGAAAAGCACGGTAGTTCACCTAGGTCAGAATTCTTACACGTTGTACTCGATGGGTGACACAGAAGTGCCAGATGTTAGGGGACTAAAGGACTTAGAAATTATTGTGAACCATGATTTAAAAACAACGGCGAACCGCAGCTAAGGCTTTTGGACTGCTATGGTCACTTCAAAGGGCTTTCAAGCGATTAGACGAGGATATGTTCCGATTACTCTATGCAACATATCAGACCTCATCTAGAGTACTGCATACAGGCGGCAAGTCCATGCTTCAGAAGTTAGGAACGAAATTAGTTAGTGATATCTCACACCTTCCTTATGATATGAGGATGGAGCATTCAAATCTCTTCCCATTATCATTCCGTAGGAGGAGGGGTGACTTAATTTTGACTTACCATATATTCAAGGGTGATTTGGGGATTGACATTTCAAACCTTTTCTCTCTCTCTAGGATACATTTATGAAGTCACCATAAGAAGGTGCTCAAACCGAGGTTGAATAAAATACGTTTGAAGTTTAGATTCTCTCACATAGTAGTCAACAATTGGAACTCCTTACCTGATTCAATAGTAACAGCTCCATCAGTGAATGCTTTCAAAGAGAAACTGGATCTCTGCAGAGATATATATCGCGAGGATTAACACAGGCAACAAGAGCCTTCTATCCTTACAATCTGAATTTACGTATTTCCCTAAAATTATTGCCCACGGCATTCATTACTGAAAATTGGATTCTAACTCTTACTGTTTAGGTCGACTTGTGCCAGAATATATCGCACTATCCGTGAACTTCACCACCCTCTGCCACTTAATATACATAGAGACCCATATAATCAGTTGGTAAACACTCTGAGATGTTATCGTGTCCTCCTTTATAGGATTATTCATCTAAATTCCTCAGTCAGTGTGCCACTCTCTAGAGTACTTTAGTTTCACCAGGGACGATTTTTTCCTTCACGTTCCTAGTGGAACATAGGGCCTCAAGCTAGTGGCTTGAAGTTTCTTTAGCAGTGTTTATTTTACAGGATAGGGTTGCCAGCTCCATGCCCAACCTTTCCTCTTTACCAGCACTATTTCTGGCTTAGCGAGGTAAAGGGGTGCGTCGGTGGGCGGGAATCGAACCCTTGACCATGTGCATGGTCGGCGAGCATTTTAACCGCTGTATCACCAACGCACCACCAGGGACGTAGCTTAGAGTATTTAGAAGTTCGTGGCTCATCATGTTTCAGTGTCATCGTATAATTCAAACTTGCAAAAGTTGCATGATGAATTTCTAAAACGAACTCGAATGGTATTCCATTGGTGATGTTTTCTAAGCATAGTGTTTCTGTTTTTTTTTTAGCTTCTTGAATGACGGTGTTGTCAATTCTGACATTACTATAATTAATAACTTACTCTAGTATTGTTCACATTATTTCTTTCTCATTGGTTGGTCTGTTAAGTAATTACCTCTGAAGTTAGATAATCTGGTCCTACACTTACCTTAATAGTACTAAGTTATGGTACTGGTTTCGGAAAAGCTGTGATTGGAACAACGAATCCCAGCTTGCATTTATTCGTGATGTCTAGCCAAGCGAAAATTCTCAATTAGACATTCAGAAAACAAAACTGCTGGTCAGAGGATATTCTTTTCGATAACTATGTCGTCATAGGATTTCTGAATATCATCCAGCCTGATTAAGTAAGAGGCAAACATTGTCTATTCATAGCACTGTATTAGCTCACCTTGTAGATTCTGAACATGAAGTTGGTGTAAGCATGTTATTTAAAGTTATTTAATGTCTTTCCAGCTAATCTTAGTTTTGATTCAGGGGTTCGTCTTCTCAAAATAGCTGAAGCTGTCAAAATCTACTTGAAGAAACCTAACTTGTATGTTCAGAATAAACTGGTGCAACAATTTTCCTTACCGTGGCCATCATGACTAGATTGTAAAAGTCTGGTGATTTCCGATTTTGCCTAAACCGTTTACATTTGAGCTGTACTTCTATTGATTTCAACAACTATATTGTTTAAAAGGTATTAGTCTTGTCAATGAGAATTATTCTTCAAGTGTTATATATATATATATATATATATATATATATATATATAATTGTAGCACCTGATGAGGACGTTATCGGAAAGAAGAGCTTTCGCTATTATATAGATGGCTAGGACATAAAGTATGCGTGGCAAGTTACCGCAATGTTAGCTGACATAGGATTGGGTTGGAAAAAAGCTAGAGGTGGTCAAACCAACACACAACATTAATCATGGAGTCCTTGCTTTCTATCTCCATGTGAAATTGGTGTAATAGGGTGAGCAATATTGAGGTTAGGCATCGGTTGAGTACTAGGTAAGGAGAAGGGGAAATCAATAGACAAGGCTGTGAAGTTACATCAATTGAAGTGGTTAGGACAGGTGTTGCGTATTCCTAGTCATCGCCTTCTTCGACAGGCAATGTTAGTTGACATAGCGTCAGGCTGGAAAAGAGAAGGCTGGTGGTGGTGGTCAGACTAAAACATGGCTTCGTCAGTCAATGAAATCCACAACAGTCAGTTTAAGCCACATAAGAAGGTGTAGGCTTCCCCGGTTGTGCTCCTGGGGATGATAAGAACCGATGGCGGTTGCTGGAGACAATTGTTGATATATAGCTTAAAGTTGTTCTTAGTCACGCAAATGCATCCAGTCTCTGCGATTTCTCATATCCAGTAAAGTACTGTCATTCTTCCGTATGACTATTCTTTTTGCCTCACATTTCTGTTTATTATCTCCTTTTACTCTCTTCTCCTGCTTTATGTGGTATGTGGAGTGTGACAACTCGAACTGCTGCAAAGTTCTACGTTGATACCAGCCCGTCAGTCATTATTTATCATATTGCTTATAATGCATACATCTGTTGTTTCATGTGTATGTGATAGACTTCTTTGATATTTTACAGACATTGCAGTCAAATTTGAATAAAAATATGACGAATTCTCTTTATCAAACTTTGGAGAAATACAATTCTGAAGTAAAACATTCTCCAATAATCTTAATTGCTTTCCGTACAGAATATCATAAAAGCATCTGTTCTGGCCAGTGTATGGCTGAGTTATCAAAATGAAAGTATGACTTTTGACGAGGTTTTAACAGAAGCTGAAAATTATTTCAAAGAATATCCTGGTAGGTTTAATTTTCACTCTTCTTGTAAAGTATATGCGTTGTGTTATGTCATTGCATGCCTTTATATGATTAAGCTTTGAAAAAGAATATCGTGTATTAATATTTCTCCTGTAACACTGTTAAATACCCATCGGTTATCCTGTCTGTTTTCAACATAGAACTTCGCACCAATGTGCACCAGTTCAAGTCGCCACACTCCTTGCAGCACACGAAGCAAGAGAAGAAAGTAAGAGAAAATGCAAAATAGAGACAGCTGACAGAGATATGAAGCAAAAAGAATATAAATATCGAAGAGCAATATAGTTTCATTGGAAATTATAAGTCTCAAGGAGTAGATGCATCTGCGCCAGCCATTGACAACGACAATTTTGAGCCATATCACCGATTGCCTCCCAAGGATCCCAACCAGGAATTCTACACCTTCCTACGCGGTTGACTTAAACTAACTGCTGTGGGTTTCATTGACTGATTAAGCCATGTTTCGCTTTGAATACCACTGGCTCTTTTCCAACTTGACCCTATATCAGCTAAAATCGCCAATGGAGTAAGGCGATGACTAGGTATGCGTAACACATGTCCTAACCATCTCACAGCCTCATCGATTGATTTCCCCTCCTCCTTACCTAGCACTTGACAGAGGCCTAACCTCAAAATTGCTCACCCTATTATATACCAAGCCACCTAACATGGGAGATAGAAATCAGGCACCTATGATCAAAGACTGCTAGTCTTTTCATGTCCTCTACTCTCAATGACCAGGTCTCACTCACAGCCATAAAGGTGGATTTAGCGAATTTCTGATCAGTACACACGCCCTTTGATCGACAATCAGCCGAATATCACGTCTACTAAGCCAGAGACAGCGTAAACTGGCATATGCAAAATTAGCTCTCTGTATCGTTGGCGATCAGTCCGTTGGCGCTAGCTGATGCAACTTCCCGAATAAGTGAAGCTGTGAACGTGCTCTACCACTTCGCTCCCTATTTCTAAGCTAGGAGTCAGTGTAGTACAATGTATCCAATGTATATCAACGTGTTTGACTAAATAGAAATGAGTTGTTTCATAAGAATATTGAGATTATCATAAATTATAACTTGCCGTCATAATCTGTAACATCTGTAAGGGTGCTTCTGCAAGGAATCAAACGCTGACCATTTGCGTGTTTGGTGAGCATTTTGCTGTTAAACCTTGTAACGCACATACCTATTTTACTTACCTAGGCAACATAGTCTCAACTATAGTTGACACATATGAGGATATTGTAGGCAGAATCAAACAAACAAGACAGAACCTCATTACTCTGAAGTTAGTCAGCATTCAGCCTAGAGGACAAAGTCCGGAGTTTCAACACTGATGTCAAGTCAGTTAGTCAGTCACTATTTCTATATACTTCAGACACTAGGCGCTTGTGTCATGGACAGCCCTTCCAAAAGCATTCTGCAGACTTTGCTTCGATGGTTTGACAGTGAAGATTAAATGTCTAGGAAAGAAAAGTAACAGGGAACTTTGATAGTGAACCAACCAATGAACCTATCACTCTGAAGCAACCAGTAATTTACGTCACTCACGAGATAGGCTATCTTTCGAGTGGAATCGAAATGCAAAACGATAAACTTTACGTTCAAGGGTGATTTAGAGGAGATAATGTGTGGAAATGATATGAAAGCTTGTAGGTCAGTCTTGGAGTTAGCTGATGAAGATGACTTCAGCGAACAGTGTGAAGTGGTGATTTGCTGCTGAAGCTCTCTATGTTCCACCATGAATTCAAGTGATGAGTAATAATAATAGTTGACAAATGATTGCTTTCTTTTATCACCAAGAGAATGTTAGGGACATATCAGATCTCCCATTGACAAACTGATTATTGAGATAAAACTTATGATGACTTGTGGACATATTGTTTTCCCAAGTTTTTTATTGGTCGCAAAATTCTAGCCTCTTACAGTTTGTGTCACATAAGCTTCAATTATAAATAGATAGGAAGATAAAATCAGGACAGTGGATAATATTTAGAATTTATCGATGTGCGTGGATGATTTCCTTGTGAACCTTTCGAAGTGTGTAAAAAGGTCAGATGTAAAGGTTGATGAATTAACCGATCCTTCGCCTGATTCCTTCACTTTCCGAATGCATTAGAAGACTTCAATGACTTTCAAGTTTCAATAATGGTCGTGTGATTAATTTGTTTTTACGGGTTCAGACTGCTAGCTCCTCACGGTTATTAACCTTCCTTCTTTTTCTGGGCCTACTTATCGGCTGGTAAATTAGACGAGGTTTAGAAGTTTATCGGCTACCGAGAATTGAATCTGAACCAAATTTTAGGTTTTCGAGAATTCTAACATTTAAAATAACTGTTTTTATAACTGAAAAAATCGGGTGAAGCGAATAAAGACAGAGGGAGTAAGGATGACACACTTGACTTCGTAAATCACTTTGAAAGAATCAGTTGAGATGTTGTGGGAGGTGTTGATCAGATATTCAGTAATGACATTTCTGGTTGAACCGGTGCCTCCTCTTTGCAGCCACACTGGGTAGTGTTCTCTAACACGTTTTGAAGGGACTCGCATACAACCACCTATGTACCTAGCTACGCACGAGCAGGTGAACTGGTCTATGCACATTGGCATGCGATTCGCTCCCGCCAAATGCTAGATGATGTTACAGGACTGGACTACATCGATGCCTAGTTTGAAAATAGGAAGTGAAGTGGTAGAGCACGTTGACCGCTTCACTTATTTGGGAAGTACCATCAGCCAGCGCCAACGGGTTGATCTCTGACGAAATCTCAGCTGAGTACGGATACAGGGGGCTCGTTTCGCATTTGCCAGTTTACACCGACTCTGGCGTAGACGAGATGTTCGACTATCGACCAAAGGGCGGGTGTGCTGCTCATCAGTCCGCTCCGTCCTCCTTTATGGCTGTGAGTGAGACCTGGCCACTGAGAGTGGAAGACATGAAAAGACTAGCTGTCGTCTTTGATCATAGGTGCCTGCGCTCTATTTCCCGTGTAAAGTGGCATAATAAGGTGAGCAACATTGAAGTTAGGCGTCGAGTTCTAGGTAAACAGGGGAAATCAATCGACGAAGTCGTGAAGTTACAAAGACTGAGATGGTTAGGACATGTGTTACGTATGCCAAGTCATCGCCTCCCTCGACGAGCAATGTTAGCGGATATAGGGTCAGGCTGGAAAAAAGCTATCGGAGGTCAAACAAAAACATGGCTTGATCAGTCAATGAAATCCATATCAGTTGGTCTAAGCCAGTCACGTAGGAAGGTGTAGACTTCCTGACTGGTTGGGGTCTTCGGGACGGTAAAAATCTATGGTTGGGAGCAATTGGTGACATGGCTAGCTTAAAATCGTTCTCAGTGGCTAGCGCAGATGCATCCACTCCTTGTGACTTATGATCTCCAATGAAACTGTTTTGTATTTCTTTATTACTCCTTTGTCTCACACCTCTGCTCACTGTTTCTATTATGCTTTTCTTGTACTTTCTTCTCTTGCTTCGCGTGCTACACGGAGTGTGGCGACTTGAACTTCCGCACATTTGTGCAAAGTTCTATGTCGAAAACAGACAGATATGCACATTGAATTAGTAATATACAAGAGTTTGTCCTTAGCGTTGTTTTGAAGTATTGGACGGCTAGAAAATGTCACTCTTAGTGTTGCTGCAAAGAAGGTCTTCTTTAAAGAGCTAGATATTCTCCTCTTTAGGATATCGGCTGCCAAATCTCCCCTGAAATTCAGATTCTCTAACATTTAATTATAAAAGCAGTCGATACCAAATAGCAGTAATAATAATAATAATAATTTGCTTTATTCCAAAACAGTAGTACTTATGATACTGCATGGAATTCTCAGCATTAGGAACAGTCCCGCATCTAATTTACTCGACAACAACAAACACAAGAGCAAACATTAATACACACAGGATTGATAACAGCAGCTATTTTGGTATTTGCAATGACAATAAAGTCAAAAATGTACAAAAAGTGTAAAATATTGATGATAATAATAATAATAATAGTAATGTTAATGCCTAAAATTATGAGTTGATTTTCTATAACTGGTTTGTGAGGACTCGTTTTGTTTTTACGAGATGATTGTCGATTGATATCAATTAGAGAACCATTGAAAACTAACCAGCTGGGAGTACTGAGCAGCTGTTTCATCCCAGTTCGGGAATCATCGGCAGTAGTCACCTACCGCCAGAGGTTCTAGCCCAAGACCTTCCAGTTACAAGGTAAGCTCGTATACCATTCACCCACTGTGACCTGATTCAACGGCTAACCCATGAATTTTAACTTCTACCAATTCGTGATGCATTTAGTGCAACTAGCACCACAACCAGTGTCATCGGTGGGACATCGATCCTCACACTTGACTGGATGAACCTCATTGGTCACGACTTCTCACTAGAACTCTTGGAACTCCTTCTTGTAGCAAGTCACCAGCGAGTATCAGATTAATCTTCTATATATGTGTAAAACTTGGGCACTGTGGTAGTAAGTAATTCCATATTAGTTTGTTTATTAAATGTATCACACAGTGAAACAGTATTGTATACTGGATGACGTTTCGAACATAATTTATTGTTCATAATCATATCAATTTTTGTCACACGACTTCCAGATTTGATTTTTATAGTTTTCTCTGTCTTCTCCTGTTTGTTGTATGGGCAGTAGAATTTTCCATATATCTGGGACAGGTGTTGAATCATTCCTATTACATGTATTTGCAGTTGATTCGATAAACAAAGCTTCTGTTATCAATCTCTCCCTCCATTCACCCTGTGACAATAGATTTTAAAACTGTCATCCTATCCCATCCTATTGTATGGTTGTGTGTAACTGCATGTAGTGCTAAGTAGTATCAAGGAAAATCTAAGACAGGAAGTGATACACATAAAAGAAGCCTTGAAACTTAATAATTACCCGGATAAATTAGTCAAGAAATATGTAAGTAAATGTAAAAATAAAATAATGATAATAGCGATAGTGATAATAATAATAACGATAACAATAATAGTAATAATGGTAATAATAATAGTGATGATAATAATAATAATATTAATAACGACACCAACAATAAGGAATGTAAATCATCAACAATAATTCCATACAAAGAAGGAACCTCGGAAGCCTTACGCAGAATTCTTAACAAGGCAAGAATAAAAGGGGCTGTCATTCACACCACCCACAAACTCAATTAGAAACAAGCTTTGTCGGTTAAAGGATCCTATAGAGCCATTAAAACAAAACAATTTAGTTTATCTAATACCCTGCAATGATTGTGAGGTCAAATACATAGGTCAGACTAGTAGAACAGGGGCAGTCAGACTAGCCGAACATAAAAACCTAGCAGCAAAATCTAGATTGGTTGACCCGAATAAGATAAAAAATCTAGAGAGTAGTTCAGCCATAGCACTACATGCAGTTACACACAACCATACAATAGGATGGGATAGGATGACAGTTTTAAAATCTAATGTCACAGGGTGAATGGAGGGAGAGATTGATAACAGAAGCTTTGTTTATCGAATCAACTGCAAATACATGTAATAGGAATGATTCAACACCTGTCCCAGATATATGGAAAATTCTACTGCCCATACAACAAATAGGAGAAGACAGAGAAAACTATAAAAATCAAATAATAATAATAATAATAATAATATATATTCTCATTTTTTACATGAGGGACGCCAGTTTACAGGCATCATCAATTTGATAATTTACACATAATATTAATAAGCATATTTAGTAAAGATAATATAATAAAGTACATTTTTTTCCCTAGCTATGTAGGGTACACCAATTGCATAGGCATGCATAAATATTGTTTTAATAATAATAATATATTCCTTCCTGTTTATGCAGGAACATACCTATTGTACAGGCATGGATAAGTTATTATATAAATTACACATAATTTGATGTATAATGGACTTACAGTTTGGTTGTTCTTTCTGACATTAGGGTCAGTCGGAACAGTCTGCTATAAAGTCTGTTTGTGTAGCACATAAAGAGATATAGAGATATTGTCTTCGCATTAACAAAAAACCCAGACATCACATGAATGTAATACAAATATCTGGGAAAAATAAAGCTTGAAGTCGTGTGACAAAAATTGATATGATTATGAGCAATAAATTGTGTTCGAAACGTCATCCAGTATACAATACTGTTTCACTGTGTGATACATTTAATAATCAAACTAATATGGAATTAATCTTCTATAGTTTGTGTGTAAGGATTAAATTTGGTTTTACGAGTTGATGATCACGGCTTGATATCGGTTAGAGAACCATTGAAAACCAACTAGCACTGGAGTACTGGACAGCTGTTTCATCTCAATGGATGCGTACTGCTGGTGATTCCAAAACAAGGATGAAACATCTGGCTATCCAGTACTCTCTGTGACTGGTTTTCAATGGTTCTCTAACTGATGGCAATCCGTGATCAACTTAAAAGGTAAGTGAAATAGTATCACCATCGATTACAAATTTGAGAGAATAAAAGAGCCAGTTAGTTTGATAATTACATTGTAAATCTTAGGTTTCACGCTTGACGTTAGCCCTATCATGTAGACTACCAGCCAAATAGTGTAACTTCAAGTTTCTATACTTGGTTGTACAAGAGAGTATATAATCTTTTATAATGAAATTTATTCCTCTACTTTATGAGTTGCAAGGCATTGAGTGTTGTGAATAGACGGGGTGTTGAGAGTTAGATTAAATGAATTTGAACCATTTCTCACATCAGTTCAGATGTCTGTCGACTACGCAAAGTAACAAGCTGACTTACAGGCGCGCAAGTTGTCCTTCTGACAACTGTCAATACTCTTCACAATATAAAATAAAGTCCTTTTTGAGTAGCCCAGGTAAGACCTAGGGTGGAGAGCAATAAAGTACAATAGGTAAGATGCAACAGTTAACAAACTGTAAATGTAGAGGTTGAATGATACCTGCCTGCTTATTTTAACTTCTGAATGCAGAAGGTTAAATAGAACATTCTCTTAGAAATCATCAAGATTTGGTATGACCACGAAAGATTTAGATAATAGAACTATTTCAAGGTATTTTATGCTTGACTTCGTTTCTCTTTTAGTGCCCTCTATGCTAGGCTACAAGCATCGTATGAACGAACCATTTCGTGTAGACCACATCTATGCCTAAAGATGAAGTTAGCTGTCTGACATTCGGAGAGATTTCAGGTAAAACCATTTGGCTTAAACCACTGGTTGGTATCCGATAAAAAGCTATTAATTCAAGTGTTGGTTTGTAGGGACTTGATTGGTTGGTTACAGTATTTCATCGTGAGCTGACATTGCCTAGAGAACCATTGGAAAACCTGGGAGTACTGGACAGCTGTTTTGTCCTAATTTGGGAACTCTTCATCAGTACACATCCACCCACAGGAGTTTGAACCAAGGACCTTCCGGTTACAAGGCAAGCTAAATCGTTTACCATTCAGCCACTGGGACCCGATCCAATGTCCAGTCCATGAATTCTAGCTTCTGCCAATTCACGACATAGTACAACCATTTCGCAATCCCTTCTTCGATGAGTAACTGCCTCATCTTCAACCTGCTGTATCCTACTGGTCACGGCTTCCCGCTAGAACCCCAGGAAACTGCCTGAATAGGACCAGTTACCAATAGGGTGCAGCAGGTGGAGGATGAGGCAGTAACTCATCGAAGAAGATATTGAGAAATGGTCGCGCTATGTCGTGAATTGGCAGAAGTTAGAATTCATGGGCTGACTAGCCATTGGATCCTGTCAGGTCCCAGTGCCTGAATGGTCTACGAGCCAACTTGCCTTGTAACGAGAAGGTCCTGGGTTCGAACCCTGGCGGTGGATGCATACTATGAAGAGTCCCAAACTAGCCGGACACAACAGTTGGCTGTCCAGTACTCCCAGTTGGTTTTCCAGTGGTTCTCTAACTGATGTCAGCTCATGATGAAAGTTGAGTTCATCTGAAAGAAGCAAGTCATTCATGTAAGGTGGACGAAAAAAGAACAGGAGAGAGAACAGCACCCTGAGCAAGGCAGTGGAAGATTCGTCATTATGTACAGTATACTGCATTCTGTTAAAGAAATAAGAATGCAACCATTTAACAGCCTAGAACTGTGTTTATGTCAGGGGAAGCTTGATGAACAAAAAGCACCTTGGTACAAGGTGAAAAGTAGGTGTGTAGTCGGTGGAGGTACATCGGACTAGAGTATGGAAGTCCCAGAAGATAACTAGTCAACATAATCAGAACGAATAAAGCGATGGAAATGCTGTCTACAATGAGAATGAAAGCTTTGCAGTTTAATCACCTAGCCAGTTTGGACAGCCTAACCTGAACTACAAATCTTCTTCATTCTTTATGTGCAATCCTCGTTACTTCTTTGTGTGATTGCATGGAGGATTTAATCATGAGCTGACATCAGTTAGAGAACCACTGGAAAACCTGGGAGTACTGGACAGCCAACTGTTTCGTCCTAGTTTGGGACTCTTCAGCAGTACGCACCCACCGGGATTCGAACCCAGGACCTTCTGGTTACAAGGTGAGCTCGTAGACCATTGAGCTACTGGGACCCGATCTAACGGTCCTTGAATTCTAACTTCTGCCAATTCACTACATAGCGCGACCACTTCGCAATGTCTTCTTCGATGAGTTACTGCCTCATCTTCAACCTGCTGTACCCTACTGGTCACAGCTTCCCACTAGAACCCCAGGTTAACTGCCTGAATAGGGCCAGTCACTAGTGAGCATCAGATTAATTTTCAAGTATTAGTTTTGTAGGGATTTTGTTTGTGTCACTTAATTCTGTATTTTTAATATTCATTAGGCTTAGGAGATTGTAACAAATATCCAATTATTGTGGAAATTAAACCAAGTGGTGGACCTGCATGTGAATCTTTGTTCACTCTGTACAGACGCTTACCAGACAATCAAAATCAAAGCAAAATGAAAAACAATAATGCTTCAAATGTTTTCATTAGTGAATGGTCTAAATTTCCTGTTTACGTGAAGTAAGCTTTTCGTTTTACATTCCAAGTGGGACATCAGGTTTCAAGCTATAGCTTTGAAGTTTCAGTATTGATTATTATTATTATTGTTATTACTCCTTTGGGTTTCCAGTGGAACATAGGGCTTCAACAACACATCACCACTTTGTTTTGTTTGGTACTGTCTTCTTCAGCTGGGTCCACGATTGCCCATATTCTCTCCTCTGCTCCTCCTCCTCCAACTCACACGTTCTCCTATATGTCGCTTTCGCACCTACGACCCACTCGTCGATTCCTATTTGGATTCATCTCGAGAGATGCCTGGCGCTGAGCGCGATGCCATTCGATGGCCTCCTCAACGTATGCTCAATACATCCACCTCCATCTTCTCCCACATATTTGTTGAGCAATCGGCCATTGATTGCTTTCCTCTCAGTCAGAATTTGTTGTTCCTAATTCTTTCTGGTTGGCTATTTGATCTTGATGTGGTTTTGTTCTCTGAGCTAGATGGCTAGTTTGCGAAGCTTTCATCACCCTACTGGGTGACATCTTTTAGATTTCTCCACGAGTTTATTAATCATCCCTCCTGGTGAACTTGGACGTGATTGGTTGTTTGTGTGTGTTTTCACACCTTCTAGGTTACTTGTATTGGAACTGATTGTTTCCTCGACTTGAACTTTGACCCTTTGTGTGTGAAGTTTCTTTCTTATTGGTTGATAAATTTTGTCTATCTCTATGTGTCTGTTGATTGATGATTCACTGGAATACCAGGTGGGCTTCTAAAAATTCTCTAGCATTCTTGTTGTTTCCTCCGTCTGATATTTGAACGTTGGTTGTCCCAGTCGAATTGATGTCCGTGGTTGTCTGTGTGTAGGTGAAATCAGGGAGTGGATATCATGTATTTTTGACGACTAGCTTATGTTCGTGGATGCGAAGACGAAGCGGATGTCCACTTTGGCCAATGTAGTGTTTTTCCCAGTTGTTTCAATTTATTTTGTAGGTGATGTTGGTTTGTCGTCTTCGTATCCACGAACATAAGCTAGCCGTCAAAAATACATGATATCCACTCCCTGATTTCACCTACACACAGACAACCACGGACATCAATTTGTCTGGGACAACCAACGTTCAAATATTAGACGGAGGAAACAACAAGAATGCTAGAGAATTTTTAGAAGCCCACCTGGTATTCCAGTGAATCATCAATCAACAGACACATAGAGATAGACAAAATTTATCAACCAATAAGAAAGAAACTTCACACACAAAGGGTCAAAGTTCAAGTCGAGGAAACAATCAGTTCCAATACAAGTAACCTAGAAGGTGTGAAAACACACACAAACAACCAATCACGTCCAAGTTCACCAGGAGGGATGATTAATAAACTCGTGGAGAAATCTAAAAGCTCACTTCGTGAAATTGAAGTATGCGCTGAAGATGTCACCCAGTAGGGTGATAAAAAAGCTTCGCAAACTAACCATCTAGCTCAGAGAACATAACCACATCAAAATCATCCATCTGAGCTACAAATCTTCTCTATCATAGCCATTTGATCTTCAGTATGAGGCCAGTGAAGACAGCTGTCGATAAATGTCTGCACCGTTTTTACGAAATCTTTTTCGTGACACGCAGTTTAAGTTTCTGACTTGTATAGAAGCAGTGACCGACTGGCTTAACATTTCAGTTGAAAATTCAAATCTTGTTCTTTATGCTGGCTGGTTTCAGGTTGATGAAGGCGTATCTTGCTTGTCTTTCCGATTCTGGCCGGCTGGCTGACTGGCTTTGTCATCTTCATCGGTTTCACTGGCCTGTGGTTGAAATTGCGCTTCTTGGCTAAATAAGTGATTTAAATAATCGTTGATGGTGGTTGGTGCCAGTTGTTGTTGTTGCTGCTGTTAGTCGGTTGCTTGGTTGGTTATCTTTATCACCGCTGTTTTCTCCATGTTCACCTGGGATCCTGTTTTTACTGCCTGCTTCTCCTATCAACTTGTTGGTTTTCGCCTGTAAATCTCAGAGTCTGTGTGACACTAGACATATATCATCTGCGAAATCCAGATCTTCTAGGGTCTTCTTATCAGTGGTCCAGCGTGTATTCCTGTCTTATCACTCCCATGCACAGTCTGACGCATAATCTAGCCTCTACAATCAAGAATATCATCGATGCCTAGTGGACAGCCTTGTCTGACTTCTGTATTCACTTGAAAGGTTTTGCTGAGTTTTCTTTCCATTGTGGATCACCTGACTGGCATGTGGCGTTGTCTCATATAGCCAGCTGTTGAATGAGGTTGATAAAGACTTGGGCACTGCACGCCCCTGAGAGTTGAAGTAGTTTCCAGATCACTTCTCAGTTGACGCTATCTCTGTCTAATGCCTTTTCGAAGTCAGTGAAGTTAAGACAGAGGTTTGATGACTGCCATTCTACCTTTTCTTCTTCAATAACTATGTATGGATTTTCACTTCGATCAGTACATGAAGTTCCGGCAGCAATGGTTTCCTATTTTTACGGGATGGAGGTGTTGGCCTCATGCTCTCCGAACTACCCTCTCTAATGATCTTACTACCGGTTTAAGGAGGATTAAAAATGCTTCGATAGAAAATTGAACCCCACACCAGGTGCACGGCTGGAGAGGGTTCTACCGCTGAACTACCGACGCACTTTTAGCATTATTATTATTGCATTATTGTCTTCTTTAGTTCATAGAGCAACTCAGGGCTTCAGCCACATGTCTCCATTGCGTTCGGTTCTCTGCCAACGTTTCCACCTCGCTCCACATCTGTCCACATACTGTCATCTCTTCTTCGCAAAAAGGAAGCGATTGTGCAGGAAATCTGCAGGAAGAAATGGAGGTACATTGGTCATACTCTGAGACAACAAACCATCATCAAGTGACATCACACGCCAGACCATCGCTCGAGTGGAAGCCTAATGGGAAGCGACGAGTTGGTGGTCAATATGAGGGTGAGGTGACATGGAGGAGGTCATGTGGAGAGTAGACGAAAGGATGTGGGGAGACGTGGAACCAGGTGAAAAGGTTGTCAGAGAACCGAACGCAATGAAGACGTTTGGCTGAAGCCCTATATTCCTCTAGGAACTAAAGGAAACAATAACAAAAATATAATTTTTGATCAATTATTACAAATCATCATTCATAGAATTATTACTGTTTGAACTTAATTTTTGGATGGTGACTAGCACTGGAATCCACGATGGGCGTTTTGTCCTATTTGGACTTTTCATCTAGATGTACCTGCATTCCTCAGTCAGTGATGATTTTCCCAACCAAGGCTCGAACCCAGTGCCTATTATTTGAAGCATCCAGCTGACAAGTCCCAAATAGGACGAGATGTGCATCCTGGCTAAATTCCACTCCTAGTCACCATCCACCAATTAACTTCTAATTAACATGTCCAGACATGGTCGAAGCATCTGCACAGGGAGAAGCCGCCGACACATGTCAACCTGAGACCGAGCACTTCGGTTCAATCAATCCATAGGAAAATCTAAAATTGAATTCAATATAACTATTTGAGTTTTACCCTCGACATCTTTTCTGTTGTTGTTGTTGTGTGACCGAAACTCTTTTATTTTGCACTAGACATTTCAATGCTAAATCTATCCAACAAGATGAATTCATCACAAAGACAGAGGAATTCAGTGAACAATTGGTAAACATGAATGCTAAATTCAGTTCAGATCCATATTATTGGATTATATATAATGAAGGAGGTGATGCAGAGATTTGGATCAAAGCTGATTAACGCTAATCAACATCAATCAGATCAACGACAGAGTATACACGTATCATGATCTGGGAAACATCTCAGGGACAGTAGAATTCTGCTTACTTTTATACATTATATTATATATTTTAGATTTTATTTAGAGTTATTTGGAATTATATGAGATATTTTTTTCTTTTCAACGACTTTATTCTCAAGCCAAGGCAGTAAATAAGTGGCACTAGGAATTGCTTAGTCAAGTATGACAAGCAGAAATATAATTAAAAATGATGTTTTAAAAGTGGGGTAGTGCGACGGTGGCACAGATGTAGGAATACTCGCCAACCACGCCACACGTGGTTCGGGATTCGATCCCCGACCGACAAGGCACTCTTTTACCTACCTGGTAAAGCGGGAAGGCTGGGATCATAAGGCCAGCAGTCCCATCCTGTAAAAATAATCACCACTGCTACAGAAACTTGAAGCCTGTAGCTTAAACCCCCCTATGTATGTTCCACTGGAAACGTAAAGGAATAAAAAGTAAAAATTAAATGGGGTTGATTTGAAGTGGATGAATTGCAAAGATTATTAAATAAATAAATTAGTATTAAGATGCTAAAGAGCACTAGGTAAAGTGATGATAACAATGAAGATGAACCCCAGTGGGTACGTACTGCCGATGATTTCCAAACTAGGATGAAACAGCTGATTATCCAGTACTCCCTATGGTTGGTTTTCAATGGTTCTCTAACTGACATCAATCCGTGATCAACTCAAAAAAAAAAGAAAAAACTAATCCTTATAAACTAAAACTATAGAAAATTAGTTTGATGCTCGCTAGTGACTTGCTAACAGGATGGAGTTTCCTGGAGTTTTAGTGAGAAGTTGTGGCCAGTGAAGTCCATCCAGTCAAGTGTGAGGATAGATTTCCCACCGACGACATTGGTTGGTGCTAGTCGCACTAAATGCATCACCAATTGGTAGAAGTTAGAATTCATGGATTGGCCATTGAATCAGATGGAGTCCCAATGGCTGAATGGTATACCAGCTAGCTTCCCCATGTAACCGGAAGGTCCTGGGTTCGAACTCCTGTCGGTGGGTGCATACTGCCGATGATTCTCAAAGTAGAATGAAAAATAGCTAGCTGTTAAGTACTGTCTAGTTGGTTTTCAATGGTTCTCTAACTGACATCAATCCGTGATCAACACCTGAAGACGGAGAAAATGAAATGAAGTGGAATGAATTCAAGTTTTAAAATAAAATAAAACAAAATTACTAATGACTGAGGGTAAAGAAAGGAGTTTAACACAAAATATCTTCTTGTAATACCTAATTCAACTTTCTGTCCATGTATAGCTAGAGCTGATGCTGTATGTAGGTGAAGAAAACGTAAACTTTTGGATTTGTTGGCCATATAGATAACTTTAAAGGATAAATCAAATGAGGCTGAATAATCTGACTCTAGAAAGTGTTCATAAATTGAAGATTTCATCGTCCTATAGTCACCGTTTGTTAAGCAAACCGGGTGGGAGTGTTCAGCTACGCGTTTATGGAGAACACGCTTAGAACATCCAATGTAATCAACAGCTTCACACGAGCCTGTGACTGAGTATATACGCATACATAAGCAATAGTTTATGCTTGACTCATTGTAGAATCACATTTAGATAAACGACTTTTAGTTGCTTCAGAAACAGTGTCACCTTTGAAAGCCAAACTCATAAACAATGTCTTCTTTGGCACGGTGATTTGGTTGGGGACAGTTTCTTTTGCTTGATGTTTCTGTCAATAAACCTTCTAGAATATCCATTGTGTAAGAGATTTGTGCTAAAAGCTTCTAGTTCTATATCGATTGTGTCTACAGTGCAGATTTTCTGAATTCTGGAGCATGAAGAACAGATAGGATAAGATTTCTCTTCCTGTCTAGAGGTACCCAACTATTGAAGTTAGTGTACTGCCGTGTAAATGTTGACTTTCCATAAATCGATTGTTTCAACGTGCCATCCCCTCTCTTCTATCTAACATCACATCCAAGAAGTAGAATGCTGAATCCGACTCCTCTTCAATAATACACCGTTTTAGTTATCTTTATTCTTATCATGTGTATATTATGAAATTAAGACATCTGGGTATATAGCCGAGGCACTAGCTATCCAAAAACTGAAACCACCCACACTATGTATCCAATAGAAATACGTCCAACCCTTGTCCCTGCCATAGCCATCACAAACAGGCAATTCTTCTAATCATAGGGGGATCAGCCTAACGAACATAGTCTCTAAAATCCTAGGCTCAGTAATCATGCATAGACTAAGCAGAACTCGGGAGGAACAGACAAGGGAAAATCAAGCAGGCTTTAGACCAGGTAGAGGGTGCATAGATCATATCTTCACTCTTCGACAGATTCTAGAACATAGACACACTTTTCGGCGTCCAACAATTGTCATATTTCTTGACTTGAAGGCGGCCTTCGACTCCGTGGATCGAAAGGTACTATGGCAATGTCTGACTGTGAAGGGAGTGCCAAGAAAGTACATTGCACTAATCAAGGCACTCTATTCAAACTCACGTAGTCGTGTAAGGGCTTATGGGGAATTGTCATCTGAATTGGTAACAACCAGTGGTGTCCGACAGGGATGTCCACTTTCCCCATTTCTGTTTAACTTCATCATAGATATGCTAATGGAAGTATCCTTAACTGAACGTAGTGACTTAGGAATCGACTTGTTACCAGGGAATAATCTAATGGACTTAGAATATGCAGATGACATAGTCCTGTTAGGGGAGGATGCTGACAAAATGCAGAGTCTTCTGAACACCTTGAGCAGCAATCTTCGTATGTTTGGCATGCGATTCGCCCCTGCAAAATGTAAGATGCTGCTACAGGACTGGACCACGTCAACCCCTAACTTAGTGATAGGGAGTGAAGTGATAGAACATGTTGACCACTTCACCTACTTGGGAAGTTGTATTAGCACCAACGGACTGATTGGCGATGAAATCTCAGCACGGATCCGAAAAGCTCGAGCTGCTTTCGCTGACTTACACCATCTCTGGCGTAGGCGTGACATCCGGTTATCAACCAAGGGACGTGTGTACTGCTCATCAGTTCGCTCCGTCCTTCTCTATGGCTCTGAAACATGGCCAATACGCGTTGAAGACATGAAAAGGTTGACTGCTTTCGATCATAGATGTCTGCGATCTCTGTCTCACGTTAGGTGGTTTAATAAGGTAAGTAATGTTGACGTTAGGCGTAGAGTGTTGGGCAAAGAGGGAAAATCAATCGACGAGGCTATAAAGTTACATAGACTAAGATGGCTAGGTCACGTGCTGCGCATGCCTAACCACCGCCTCCCCCGACGGGCATTGCTAGCTGATATAGGTTCAGGTTGGAAAAGAGCCAGTGGTGGCCAAACAAAAACATGGCCTCATCAATCCATGAAATCCTTGACAGTTAAACTGAGTCAGGTAGGGAGATGCAGACTCCCGGGTTGGGGCCCTCGGGACTCTAGGAATCAATGGCTGGAGACAATAGGTGACATGGCTCAAAATCGTTGTCAATGGCCAGCGCAGATGTATTCAGTCTCTGTAATCTTTCATATTCCTTTCTACCATTACCCATTCTGTTTCACTCTTATATTTGTCAAACTCTATTGATTCTCTTCACTCATCTTCTTGTCTACCTCTGTGTGCTATTTGGAACGTGGCAACTCGAACTGCTGCACTTCGGTGCCAAGTTCTATGTTGAATCCAGACAGACAGAGATTTACTATCCCATTGCCTTTCCTATCCAAACTTCCTGTCTATTTTGTCATTTTATTATTTCTACATATTTAATTGCTGACTGCATAAACAATTATTCGTCCCACTAGATTTTTTAATCCAAACATCCTGTCTATTTTTATTATTTCTACATTCTTAACCCCCCAATTGCACAGTATGTCAATCTCTTCACTAATTATGATACTACTTTGTTTGACTTCTATCCGTGCCTCGTCTTCGTATATTATGGCATTTTAATTTCTAATTGTAATTTTTGTTAATTTGATCCTTGACTGGGAATTATTCTAGAACTTTCCCACCCATTTATCATGAGTACACGAATGTACAGCCATCTAATTTAATTGATGGTGCCTTTGTCGAAAAGAAAATTTTCTTCCCTGTAACCGTCTTTTTTGATAATTCCTATCATCCAATGTGTATATATTCCAAATAATGAATTTGTCAGATACTCTTTTTGATAATTTGAACAAAGCAATAATTGCACGACATGGTTCAGAGAAAAAGACACGGATCCATTATTGTTTATTTCCTCGGTATTTAGTGAACACAAGACGCCTCAAATTCTTTTAAAACAATTAATAAGTAGTCGAGCTGAAGGCTCTTTCAGTTCACAGAGGCTATTGCTATCACGAATGATTAAAATTTGACTTATATATTCAGAAAGAAGCTGCAGTAAGTCTCACTTTCTAAACTTTGGAGAAAACTCAACTTTTAAGCTTCATTGTTAATAAGAACAAAGAGTTCATCGAATAGTCTGTTTCTTTCGGCGATGAATTCAATCGCAGCCCCAGCGAAGTGGTCGTTGAAGAAATCTCAGCATGGATACAGAGGGACCTTTTAACATCTGCCAACCTGCATCATCTTTAGCGTGGACGTGATATCTGGCTGTCGACAAAAAAGGACATGTGTACTCCTCAACAGTTTACCCCGTCCTCCTTTTAAATTGTCAGACACGCCCAATGAAATTGGAAGGTGTGAGGAGGCTAGTTGTCTTTCGTCACATGTGTCTCTGTTCTATTTTCTATATTAAGTGGTATAATAGGGTGAAAAATATTGAGGTAAGGCGCTGAGTGTTAGGCAAGGAGAGAAAATCAATCGGTTAGGCTGTAAATATATATTGATTCAGATGACTCGCGTCGGTGGCACAGTGGTTAGGACTCTCGCCGACCATGCACATGGTCCGGGGTTCGAGCCCATGCCGACACACACCTGATATCTATGGTCGGCCTGCGAAATTTGGCCTACCGATATCCACG